CTCTACGAATCTTCTGTTGCACTTCCGCCCCCTTGGGAGTATCCCAGGCTTCTGAAATCCCGTGTATGATAGCCTCTTCACTGTCGGTTCTCGATACATTCTCCATACTCGTCTCGTCTCCCCTCCCTCTCCCGCCTGATGTGACGGTAGCATTGTATCCGGTATGTCGGCTCGGCAGACTCTGTAGAGGATGCGAAGATCGCGTTCCATCTCCCTGTCCTTCCTTGCCATTGCTCCCCAGAGGATACCTTGTTTTGCATGAAGAGAAGCCCAACAGTGCGGGAAAGAACGTCTTGAAGAACGTCTTGAGTGCAGAGGAGCAACCGCAGAAGATGGCGACGTAGAGCTCCACGGCGTACCAGATAAGCGAGCTGGCGAATTGTCGGTATATCTCGGGTTCGTTTGCCAGTTGTCGGACATAGTAGAAGCGCACGCAGCCAGCTGTAAACACCGGTCAGTTGCTTGATCTTTTGCAGGATTCAATCCGTTGGATGACTGTAATATTGACGTTCAATTCACCTGCAACGCAAACCACTCCCAGCGCAAATACTGCCGATACCGCCCACTTTTGCCGCTATTATTCCATGTCAGCAAACGCGAGGAACTTTCGAGGTACGTCCAAAGTGAAGGTACCTGCGGTAGTTGCAAGCCCCAAATCATGGGAATTGGACAGATCCAAAGACAAATGTCTGTAACAATGACAATCACACCGGCGGCGTCCCAAAATGCCTGCTGCACCGCAGCCGACATGCAGTATTTCGCATAGATTTCGTGACTCCCCTTAGATGTCCAGAATACCTCGGCAGGGTTACATTCGATGGCGGACATGACGAAGTGACATATTCCCAAGCCGATCACTGCCGCCATGAGTCCATACACCGTCCATCGCATCTTTGGTCGGTTATCGAGGCGCAGATAAAATAACAAAAGACCGACTTTGACGAGCACGTTGCCGACGGCGAAGAACAATCGGGAGATATAGAGCGACTTTGCACAGGGGAGCACGGTTAGTGAGTCCTCGTTGATGTTTGGAATCTTGCGGGGAGACTCAGAAAACAAACATACCAGCAACATTGGCTCCCACTCATTCGACGGTATTTCGGCTCCTGTCTCTGGTTAGCAAAAGAAACCTGGGCCTTGTATTGTCTAGCTCACTGATTCTCCCTAGGCCGTGTCTCACGGAATTCATGACACAAACAGACTGCAGGATTGTGGCGATCTATATCGCACCCGTCAAATAAAGTTCGATGCATTGGAAAGAGTAAGTATGATACTCACGGTTCCGGCAATCATCATAACTATAGAATCGTTTCGGTCAGCAAGAACGCCACGACTAAGCTGTTCCAATGGGACGTACAGTCGTCAGCTCCAATTGACTTCGTAATGGAGAACCTCGTGTATAACCTGACACCCATGACGAAGACTATGACGATGATCAATGACCCATTGACCCCGAACGCCCTCTGTTGGGCCGTGTTGAAGTCCGATATCGATGGGCTGTCATCCTCTTGGCGGGTAGACAAGACACGAAAGAGGTCTTCCATGGCTGATCGTGTCGAAATAGTCGACGAACTCGGGTCCGAGTCGAGGACAGACCATTTCGCTGGGTAAAAGGACCCGAGTGGCGGGGTGAGTCTGGGATAAAAGCATCCTCTGCTCCCATCCATTACACTCCCGTCGTCCTTGCCGGTGCAGACCGGTTCCCTGATTGGACTCAGTTGGTGGCTTGCGCTCGGACAACAGCCAGGGTAATGAATGGTGAGTGCTGCAATGTCTTCCAGGAACAGAACTTGATCGTTGTCACGTTATGCTATTCATTGCGAGTGTGTGTGGGAATTGACAAGGCCCAGAGTGAAAGGGGAGTCTGTTACGAGTCATATAGGCTGCTTATCGTGGGACGTGATCACAAGTGCTAGATGTGGATCAGAATTATCTGCTTCGCGCGGAGCACGGCAGCTAGACAGCAAAACATTATTGAGTTACCTGTCTCCCTAAACCGTCCTGATCTTTCAAATTTTGCCGTAGCTTGCTGTTACAAGCTTTGAGCCAGATGGATTTCCTCTTGGCCAATGGCTTTCCTTCCTCTTTTTCTACTGAGTTTCGAACTAGTGAGCATACGGAGTTTTATGTCATTTGGTCTCTCAGCGGCAATTTTTACACCCCCATCTTCTTCAAACGCCAAGTCTGCCTTGTGGTTGGATATGTCAGATTAAAACCTGATCAGGCGGGGTTTGGATCCTCTCGATGCAACGCTGTACGGTAAAATCACTTTCGATGTCCGCGCGGAAGACTGCCGTCCATATCTGGTGTCACATTCCGTCCTCAGAGTTCCTGAATGCAGAAAATCTCCCGCTGTCATGACTCTGCCTGACATCCAATTCAATTTGCTCTGATGTAACACGCCATGCGGGATGCCGGAAAGACGCTGAATCGCTCGCAGAACCAGTAGTTTTGAACGTGATGACGCCATGGGAGTGATTGAGTACTCTGTGGATCAGTCACGGTACCCGTAGGATCCCCATGCCTTGAGCGGCGCAGCAGTGCAGTGAAAGATTCAACTGATAACTCCGGGTTAGCGGGACTCTGGTTCATGGATCGCGCTCAGACCAGAAGTTCGACCTGTCAACTTTGGTGGATATTCATTCTGCGGGGAGGGCTAGACGGTCAGCGGGGAGCACCGATGCCGCTGACTACACGGAAAATGAGCTTTTGCGGACAGCATATACCGAGCGAGCATCCCTCTTTTCGTTCTTCAAAGAATATCTCTCTTCTGGATTCTTACGCACACATGTTGATCCGCGCGGCTACCATCCTCAGCTACCCTAAGTTACCTGCTAAGCCAACTCGACAAGGCACATACGCTAAAGGAACCATGGCAGCTTCATCAGATGAATATTCGGATTCTCGGTGACTCCTGAGTCCGACTACCAGCTGGCTATACGAATTGAGTGAAACTTCGTTGTGTTACTCCGGCCTTCTACATGCATACTTCAATCTCTGGGCACTACCAGGCCTCTGTTCCTGATCTTTCAAAAGGCACCACCCGTCGACACTGGTTAACTCAATTGGAAGCCTAGTACGTGCTGCTGAAACAAAAATTACATAGACTTTATTTGGATTTTTCTACACCTCTGACATCTACTGACGGCCATCTAATGCAGTCTTTCGGCCGAACATTCCATCCTCGCGAATATCCGAACTGCACCGTGACTTCCGTTAATATGTCTCCGACTTATTCGAGCCCTGCAAGATCTTCGATACTGTATACTTTGGGTAATACGATGGCGAACCCGAGGATTGTCATTCCTTTCGTACTTATCGTCACACGTTCAACCCGATGACGCATCTCATGCGCGTAGACGGTCAACAGTGCCTGCAGTGGACAGGGAAGAAAATATCAGATGAAGCGAGTCGCGCAAAGTTTCACGGCCGACACAACGCCTTCCCGAATGCGCGATGCACGGCTTAACCAGCAAGTTCCTAGCAGCTGCCTAGCTTGGCTATCAGCATGTACCGAGGCACAAAATCAGGACTATCTATGGCAAAGAGAGTTTCTCAAAACTAAGGCAGCTTGCGGGCTGCTTTCCCTTGCATCACCAACGCTCATCCACCTACCCGAGAGAAAACTGGATAGCAACACATACGATGCCTTCATCAGATTCATCCGGTGGACTCGGAAAGGGCAAAGTGACCCTCAGCGGTGCCCAAGAGACTCTCCTACTGACGCTCTTTGCCCGCGCCAAAGATGCTGAGTCTTCGCGTCCGATTCTGAATGATCAATATGCCCTCGATATCGTCTCTCAGATCAAGGACCAGGGTTACGACTTCAAGCGCACAACGGCCGGCGGCCCCACCACAGTCATGTTTGCGAGCTCAGTCTCGATGCGCGCTCGCATGCTCGACATCTGCACCGAAAGGTTTCTGAGGAGGAATTTAGGCCCGGCTACCGTCTTACACCTGGCATGCGGCATGGACTCGCGTAGTCTTCGCGTCAAATGGCAGGGCGAGGGTCGCTTGTGGATCGACGCCGATAGGCATGATGTAATTGAGCTTCGACGGCAGGTTATGAAGGATCCGGATACTGGCAAGGGGGAATACCGATTGATTGATCCGAACATTCACGACGATGCGTGGCTCAGCAACTGCAAGATCCCCACAGATCGACCGGTGCTGATTCTTTTCGAGGGTTTGACGCCGTACCTCACCCCTGACGAGATGTACGGCCTCTTGCGACGGATCGTGAACTACTTTCGGCAGCGCGGAGTCCACGGCGAGATCCGATTCGATGCTATTGGATCGCTCACTTATTACACTGCCAGCTTCTTTCTCAATTCCACGTTCAAGCTGATGGGGACGCGCTTCAACTACTATCTCGACGAGCCGAGGACGTTGGAGCAGAAGGTCCCCGGACTGAAGTTCAAAGAACGCATCTTTGGCACGCCGGATCTTCTGATCTTTGGATTTCTAGGCTGGTTTGTGGGATTTCTGGGATGGGTCGCCGATTTGTTCGGGCTCACTGGTCGCATTGGAGGAGGCTATGGATACGAGTTCTGAGGGCTTTGATGAGGAACATCACATATACTCAAACGTGAGCTATATATATCAACAAATTCATGCGGGATTTCTTCTGGAGATTCGGCCAACTCTATGGATAGTTGAGTCACACTACGTGACATCCGAGATGACATAGCTCATGCAGATCATATGTAATGTGAAATTGTTGCAGCCAATGAATGGCATTTGGCGCCGTGATAAGGACATTCAATGACATGAGTTCTTCTTTGTTTCTTCACAAACTCATCAAGATTGGTGGGTATCACTCGGTCTCTGAGTGCACATCATCAAAACTTCCAGACAAATTCAACATGTAAAAACAGAAATCGCGTGAAATTCGATGCTTAATTGACAAGACTTTCTCTGTGTGACCTCTAGGCTCCAGGCTTCCTCACTAGCGAAGCCTTGAACGTTCTCGCCCAGCCTTTCTCTACCGTGGTATCATTTCAAAATCTCACAGACCGCTGCTCGCTCAAAAGGACTTGAACTGCACAAGCAGCAATAGTCCACACTCCAAGGACAAAGTTACTCTTATGTATACCCCCTCCACTCGATGGTTTATCCGAGTCGAAGTGCGCCAGCTGTGCTGCGAAGGACGCGGTCCATATACCCATCCAACTGAACCAAAGCCATAGAGACCCGAACCTTAAAAGGTACAGAGGCATACACATGACGATTGGGCTGACCAGGACAAGAAGGAACCGATGGAAGTGACGCCCTCCAACAGTGTAGAATGAGTTGACGTCGATTTTCTGGTCATCGACAATGTCTTGGTAGCTGTAGGCCGTGTTGAGGTAGATGATCCAGAAGAACACCATGAAACAAAGCGGCAAACAATAACCGATGCTGTCGCCAATCGACTCGTACCGACCGTGGATCGCGGATCGACCCAAAACGGCGGGCCATGCAATCGTGAACCCCAAGATGTATTGTGGGTATATGCGAAGCTTCAAAGCCATAGGCCGTTTGCCATAAGGGTATAGAGCCGAAGCCAAGATGACTGGGAACATGTGTTGGAATCTGATGACGAACGTTAGAATATCTGTCATGTAACCATCTGGGAGGAGGAAAACGGGTGGCCATACACATCCTTTCCATTGAGCATATTGTGGACAATGGACAAAGACACGAGCAGCTGCAGCACCATCCACAGCATCGCATCCGTGGTGGTCACGATGCCCGCGGCCAGAGGACGGTCTTTAGTTCGAGTGACCTTGGCATCGATATCACGGTCCACCCAGTCATTCCAAACCATACCGGCGCCACAAAATAGGTAAGCTGCGATGAAGCATAGTGCGGCCTGTCTGAAGACGAAAGCAGGCTGAATATTGCTATTGGGATCGACGAGCTCAGAAGCACCAGCCAACAAAACCGACCAGACTGTACCACTGTGAGCGTTGCGGACCAAGACTCTGGTAAAATCAAAAGACGTACCTCCAGCAAAAGTAGTGAAAAGAGGGTTGTACTTGTTGAACCGTGACAGGGTTACCAAGTGCCAGAACAAGGTGACCTTTTCCGGCTTAGGCTTGCCCGTGTATATCTCTTTGCATTGCTTCGTAGATTGCTCAAGCTTGTATAAGGCAATAGCATGTGAGATGCTTTGGTACAACATGTCGACTCGGGGATTAATGACGGCGACGATTCTGGTTTGGCAAAAGGAAAGGCGTTTAATTGAAGGAGCCCACGTTCGAAGGAAGCGGACCGAACGCGCATGTGTGGTTTTAAACCTCCCGGTCTTCAATTCTCCTCCCTCCCCAGCTTTTCTGTCAGCTGTGGACGCGCAGCGTCCGCCTTGATATTTCACCCGCCAAAAGGACCACAAGCTCCGCGCATGCGTCGGTTTCAGATGTGACGTAGTTTTTGCTGTTGAGTTCGTTGTTGCAGGGAAGTTGCTGTGAGGCTTTTGCCGAGGTGAGGAGGTTCACACGTCTCGGCGTGTATGGCATTGATCAAGGCATCTTAGCACTGTCTGTGTGGCTGTAGGAGAGCCCAGTTTGCATAATTTAAGTAACGACACTTTCAGCCCAAAGCTTTTAAATGGGAAGTTCTCAAGAAGACCAACGCAACATTTCTTGCAGAAGAGACTCGGCTTGGAAGCTACTATGAGTTTTTGAGGAAATTTCAAATCAGAATAAGTGTATTCTTTCAACTTCCAAATCCCAACGCCGAAGTCGCCTTGAAGCAGGTGAGCAAGACTTACACAGTACGGCTAAAAGCATTCTGGTTCATCTGAATTCTAGAACAGCCTAGGTCTCCGCAAGACCGTGCGCGAGCTGGAAAGCTGCTTGACTAGCCCAGCCCATCTAACGTTTCTTTCTCGATCTCCTTCAGCTGATCTGTGGGTCATTCAACGGCAGAGGATGATGAAGCTGGTGAGTCGAGGGATGTTCGTTGCATGAAAAGAACAAGTGGATGTGTTCCTTGATCGACCATCGAACCGGCAATGGAAGGCCCTAATCACTGTCATACACGTAGTCCGACGAGCTAGCAGCATCCTGGTCCGTGCCTACAAGTTCACAGCACCTGTGGTCAAAGGCGCCTCATTTTCAGCCGATCGTCGATGACTAGTCGTTCTTCTAGCCCCCCTTAAAACCAACGGTCATCGAGTTGATATGAATGTATGATTCACATGATATCTACCGGAGCTTTGCTGACGTGTTTTATCGTGGGTGGCTCTGATCGTTTCTACATCTAGAAAATGCGAGCTTTGAGATCCACTCCGAACCTGAAATGGGGGTTGCCAGTTGGGAAGATGCTTGTTTGTGAGACTGTTGGGCAGTGCCTCCCGCTGGGTTCGTCATTCACTAACGCGTAAGAGGTAGGATGTCAACAATGAGGTTACCAGGGTATGCCTCCTCTGGCATTTACCATACACATCTTCTCCTCATTGAAAATGGGGATAGGCTTTGCTGAGCTCTTGGCGCGAGCTAATCTTTAGCATAATTCACGTAACATTCAGCAAAGTTCACAACAATTTGAACGAGAGACATTGCTCACAAAGTTACTTGCCATGCCGCTATTTGTTGCGGAGTCTGCTTATGTGTTGACAGACTTTGTAGCAACAGGGCTTGTGGACGCCGTCAAAAGAGTGTTCAAGCAATCTTGCGGTGTTAAGGCACTGTTGAACTTGTCCTTTTTGCCTAACTACCTTACCGGGGGCGTATGAGGGAATATATCGATTAAGAATATTAATATAGTTGCGCAACTCTATACTACTACCGTTAAATAAAATACTATAACTTAATTTATAGTAGTAGTAGTATATATAATAGTTACGTATATAGTAATAGTCGTATAAGAGTAACCGAGAGTTTTAAGAATTATAAATAGGGTATCGGGGGACCGTACTAGGGGGTATACCCGGGGCCCGGGGTATATAAATATTAATATATTTAGATAAATATATTAATATATTATTACTTATATATATTATAATATTACTATAAATATACGGATATTGCGGCTACCTAAGCCTCTAAATAAAATCCCTAAAATTAAACCTCTAAGTTTACTAAACGTTACTATTACTATCCCTATTAAATTTAAAGAAATAATCTAGCGGGTAAGATAATATAAATATATAATCTATATACGGATTATTAGTATAAAAAATGAAGCTGTTTATAATAGTTAACTTACTTTATTACTTAGAAATCGTAGTATTAAGGCGCCGCTATTATTACTATTACTACTATTACTATTACTACTACTACTTATAAAGTTCTTTAGTATTAGGCGGGTAAGCTATTTAGCCTCTCGCAATTATAAGTAAGCTTTATTAAAAGTAAATAGTCTTACTTACTTAATACTCGGACGTATAAAGTAAACGAGGGTATAATACCGATGCCGATACTTACGATATAAATATATTAGTATATAAGGTAGTCGGGCTAATAATAGGTATATACTTATATAATATTAAGCTAGTATATTATAGCTACTTAACTTACTACTTAACTTAGATACTATAGTTATAGATCTTAACGAAGTATAGTTTCTTAAACTAAATAGTATTAATACTAATAATAGTAAGTTACTTAAAATAGCGTACTTTATATAAGTCGAGTATATAGTCCTTTTTATTTAAAATTTCTATAAGCATAATAATAATAAAGATGCGGCGTAAATTATATATTTTATAAACGAAAATATAATCGACGCGGCTTATTATAAACTAGTTATTATTTATATACCTAACGTAGTTACTACGAGCAAAGATATACTAACGGAAATTACTAAAGTAAAAGAATATTAGTAATTAATTTTTATAAATATAAAGCTATTACGAATACTACTTATATATTTAACAAGGGATAGGGCAGCGATATTATAATAATAGCGGATATTTTACGAATTTATAAAAGACCTGGGGGTATATTTAGAGTATTTTAAAAACTTTAATATTATAATAAAAGTAACTTGAAATTATAGCTTGTATTATAATAATAATTTTCTTAGATTTTATACCTCGTATATTTTAATAGTGCGTAGATATATAGTACTTAAAGCTTTTTTTTTTAGTTAAGGTTAATATTACGAAATAATATCCGATATTTAATTAATAAAATTACTTAAATTTATTAATTAAGAGATAAAAAGGTTATTTTAGGCCCCTTAGTAAATGTTAGTAACCCTTCTCTAGGCCCTAAATATTAATAGCCTTATTTTATAAGCCTCGCCGGGCTCCTTAAGATATATTAAATTATTAAGTATAAGACTTAACTAAATAAATAAATAGATATAGTAAATAAGTAAATATAGTAAATACTAGTTAGTACTTACTTATTTATAAAGCCGAAACGGTTTAATTATTAAATAGCTTTATGTCCGAAGTTTTAAATTTTATTATAAGCGTAGTATTATATATATACTAAGCGTAGGGCTTATTTAAAGGTTTATAATATATTTATATCCTTAGTAAGTAGAAGCTTATTTTTGTTAATTAGGTATTATACTTTATTAACTTAATTAATAATAATAGGATTATAGTACTCTTTATCTTTTTTAATAATACCTATTAGTTTATTTTTATTAATAAAATCTTCTTATAGTTATATATCTTTTTTATTAGTACGAAGTAATACTTTATTAAATAATATCGGAGCTTTATTATAAAGCTAGTATATTTAATAAGTAAGCTTATTATTATTATAATAAAAAGTATTATAAAAGAGGAAGCGCTATGTTATTTATATATTAACTTTTAATAATAAGATCTTCTTAATATTAATATAGTTTATTTAGGTTATTATTATTTTAAACTATTTATACGGTTATTAATACTAGATATGTTATGAGGTAAGGGACGTTAAGGTAGTAGGATATTATACCTTTTACTTACTTATGCTTATTTTTACTTAATAATATATTTATATTTATTAATATACTAAACTCCTTAGTAATAGCCTTATAATAGATACTTATATAAATATTTAGCCGTACTATATTTAATATATACTTTTTAGCTCTTTTATTAAGTAATATAAGTCCTCGCTTAGGCTTATTTTTTATTATAAAGACTAGTAGCTAGGTTGACTATTATTTTATATACTAAGAGATATTATATAAAATAGGCTCGATAAATAGTTATATATATTCCGATTCTAATCTAACTTATAGTTAACAAAAGGGCTATTATAGTAGTATTATTAAGCCTTAGTAACTATTATTAGTAGTATTTTACGCTCGGGGGTTATTAATAATAGCCTAGTTAGTAATTTAATAGAGCTATTAATATATTTTGCGAGCCTTAACGATAATACTTATTATATTCTTACGATTAGCTTTATTAATATTAATACTAACTAGGACGCTATTTAACTTAGCTAATTTTATATAGGCCGTTATAATAAAGTTAATAATATTGTTATTAGTTACGTTATTTAAAAGCTAGTTTTATATAGTATTTATAAACTTAGGGTGGATATAATATAGGATTAAAAAGCTCTGAAATAAGCCTAGGGTAATAACTAATTAACGAGTATTTATTATTAAAAAGTAATTACGAAGATAATAAAGCGGTAATTATAAGCACTCTTAGCTTAGTAAAAAGGGCTAAATACGTAGTGCGTAAGTATACTCCTTATATCCCTACGTAATAAGGATATTATTAAGTAGTATACTATATATTAGCTTAGTAAGGCCTTAATATTTAGAGTAAATAAGATCCGGAGGGTATAAAAGGATTAAATCTAATATAAAAATAATAAATATTAATATAAGCGTCTTTTTTATAATACTCTATACTTTATTATATTACTCGCGAGAAGCTACTATTATAAAATTATTTATATTTTTATATATAATCGTATATTAATAATAATAGTACCTATAGGTAATTATATTAAAATTTAGTACTAACTCTAAGTTATTACTATTTTTTTATAAATTACTAACGAAATAGAAATAGTAAAACTTATTTATTCGAGTACCTCGGAATTTATTATTTTTATTTTATTATAGTATATCCCCGATATAATAAAGAATTAGTATAATTATAATATAGTACTCGTTATTAATATATAACCTAATATTATAATTAAGTTTAGCTAAGAACTAGAATATTTTAATAATATTATTAAAGTTCGAACTATATAGACTAAGTATAAGAAA